CCCCACCGGGCTACCCAAGGGCTCGGCCAGCGCAGTGACCCAGAGCCTGCCCAGGACGCCCTCGGCCACCACCGGTGGGATCCGGGCCACGCTGACGCCCACGGTCCTAGCCCCACGCCTGCCGCAGCCGCCGCAGAACCCGACCAACATCCAGAACTTCCAGCTGCCCCCAGGTGAGTGGCCGCGCTGCTGGGCGGGTGTGTGCTGCCGGGAGTCCAGGAAGTTGTAGGGCTGGCAGGACGCTGAGGTCATGGGTCTTGCACCGGCCTGCCGCGAGCGGAGGTGCACCTCTGCCCAGGCGCGGGACGGTCCCCGGTGCGTGAGAGAGCGCGCGAGTGCGCGTGCCTGTGTGTGTGTGTGTGTGTGTGTGTGTGTGTGTGTGTGTGTGGTGTGTGGCTGTGGGGTCTCTTACACACCGCGCAGGGTTTGGCCTCAGCTCACCTCTGTGCAGCGCAGAGCTTGTCCTCCAGGGCTCACAGTTCAGCGAGTGGGTCCTCCCCTCCCCTTCTGGCCCTGCGAACCCCTGCCCAGTCCCCCCACAGCGGACAGCAGTGGCACCTGGCTCTCTGGGGACAACTTACTGGGTTGTACAGTCTGGGTCCCTGGCCTTCCCACTCTTGGCACTTCCTTTTCTTGGTTTCTAGGATCAGGCGCCTGGCCTGTATCTCTCTGCTGAACTTTTCCTGCTCTTTTATTATTCTAAGCTGTGATTGGTGTCCCCTGATGGTGGGCTAGGGACCCCTCCTTTCTTGGGAGAGGTTAGCAGACTGACGCCCCCTCCATGAGGCTGGGCAAGCCTGCATGGAAAGCTTTCGCCTCGCTGCCGACACCGGGATGGCAGAGATCCCAGGTGAGCCTGGAGGAGTCCCGGGGCACACACCCTTCCTGGCGGAGCCCTGCCTCTCGGCTGCTCTGCAGTCGTGTTTCAGCACTTCCCGTGGCCACGGTGTTGCTGCACACCGTGTGCTCACTTAGAGGACGCCCGGTTACCCTGACCAGAACTGCTGAAGTCAGTGGCGGGCACGCACTGTCCCATCAGTGGGTCTCTGGGAGGTACGGTCGGTGGGGGAGGACCGGGAGCCTCCTGGAGCCGCGTCCGTCTCCTGTCTCCTGCCGCCTCAGCAGCTCTTTCGGGTTCTTCAGGTTCGCCAGCCAGCGGAAGGTCTCTCGCAGCGTTGGGTGTCACGCTGCTTTGTTTTGGGATTCCTAGGCAGAGAGAAACTCGAGCACAGGAGGCTCCCTGTTTTCCCTTGCATCCCCTCCACCTCGCCTGCGTGGACTCTGCTGGGCTCCTCCCCTGCTGTGTAGTAACATGTGCCCGTGTGGCCGCCCGGCAGCGGCGGTAGTGGAAACAGCACCTCCTGTGTCTTGTCCCCTCGTGCTTTCTGAAAAGAGCCATTGGTCACCGTGGAAGGATTTCAGCGTCTTAAAAGGGAAGGTTTCCCTGTCAAAGTAAGGTGAGGTTCGGAGCGGTGGTGAAGCTTGGCAGGGATCTGCTTTTACACGGGCACCAGGAGGGACGGTGACAGCCAAGAACCGAGCCAAGTGTTTTTGGGGTGGTCGTGGCGGCTGCCCTCCCCCTCCGAGGAGGTGATGTGAGATAAGTACCTGAGAGGTGCAGGGTGCCCCTCACAACACATCGTGTTTGTTTTGAGCTTGTAAGGATGTTTTGTTGAAGGTTCTGTTTTGCTCATTATGCATATTTTGACCTTTCGGTGGAAAATACGGCTGATCTTTAATAACGTTTGAAAATGGGAATTCGTGGTTGTTGCACATGACGTAAAATGTCAAAATACTTCTATCTACTTATTCAAGTGCCCTCTCAGGACTCGGTTACTCACAGCTAGGACGGTTCCCCACACCACACTTTTGTTATTTAAAACTGGTGTGAGCTTGTCAGTGAGGCTGGCGCCCTGCCTGGCTTGCAGGGGTGGTGAAGAGGCCCCCCTGGGTGCCAGTGTGGGGTCTGGCGTTTCCGGGATCCCCTCGGTCTGAGCCTTTGCGGAGGCGATGCCCCTGCTACCTTACTTCTGGGGGGAGGAAGCTGTGGTTTAGAAAAGGCACCTCGCGTCTTTGTCACGATTGACCCCAGACTCGCTTTCTTCTCCTGCTCTAACATCAGGGTGAGGGATGTCTGCACGTGACAACTAAACGACTTCTTGAAAAAAATTGTCAAAGCGCTGACTTTTTGCATGAGTTCTCCCGAGTCTTTGCATGAGTCTCTGCATTAGTCTCTTATATGTGAGAGCAGAGAACAGCTCATGTTGACACTCGGGTGACAAATGCTGAGAGCTGTGCTTTAAAGGGGCCAAATGCTTTCTAGAAAATAAAAGATTCACACCTATCTCTTCGTGCTCCCCTTCCCCCCACAGCTAATCTACCGATTAGGAGCTCTGATTAATTACATTACTTCATTTTAATAACAGCAGAAACAAAGAACTACTACCAGTGCCCCTGAATTACCTTGTTTTAAATAGTACAGGTTTATTCTGTAGATCAGAATGACAGACTATGTGTTTCTTTTTTGAAGGGGGAAATAATTAGGTTTTATTCATTTGTTTATTTTGTTTTTCAGAGGAGGTACTGGGGATTGAACTCAGGACCTCGTACATGCACTCTACCACTTGAGCTATATCCTCCCCCCTTAAAATGACAGATTATGAATATTTGAATTACATCATGTAATTGATCAATCAGAAATGGTTAAATTCTACTTGATGTCTTCTATTCATTGAAGCCTTTCATCACAAAAATGTATAAAGTGGAGGTGGAAGTAACTCAGAAAAATAACTATTGCTTGGCTAAGAAGTCACTCTTGGTAGAGCTCTGATACAAATGTTTGGGAAGGGATTGGGGCGAGCAGGGCTTCAAAGCTCCACACAGGTGTCAAGCGAAGTAACAGACTGTTGGCAATTGGAGTGTGTTTGTCCCTCCCAGCGCCCTCCCTTCCTGTAGGCCGGGGGGGGACAGAGGTCTCAGAGTCCCCGAGGCCACTCAGGCCTCGCCTGTTTCACTCTCACAGCCCACCATGAGCTCACGTTGAGTTCGGTTTCAGCAGACTGGACGTTCTTTGCCAGGAGTCTTGTAAAGAGGCATCTGCGTTACTGTCATTAATTTGCTTGTTGACGGCGCCAGGGCCTCAGTGTCACCCACCGTGAGGAATGGCGACGCGCACGTCTTCAGAGAGGTGTTGCCGCAGAGGCGGGGGCCTGGGGCCTCCGGAAAGCACCAGTGAGCTGCGCACGGCTTAGAGCAGTCGTAACACCAGGGTAATATTATGATTATAGTTGAAAGAAGCGAAAAGTGATATGACATCAAAATTAGCACACATGTACATGGTTTTAAGAGATCTTTTCAGATAGGTGTTACAGTAGAGAGGCTCATTTCTAAAGGCTATCTTTTGGCAGATATGCATTCTCAGTAGTGTATGTCTGTCTGTTGTTCTGCCTTCACAGAGAATTTGTTCTCCTGTGGCTCTGAGGTTTGGCCGAAGTGTAGGCTCTCATTCCAGGCTAGGACATCTTTCCTCATCGTTGGCCTGGATACCTTGGCTTCGGGAACGTTTGCTGGGGAACTCAGAATGGATACTCTTGAGGCTGATATTCTGGGAAGACGGGTCTAGGGCAGTGATTCCCATCCTCGGTGAACTGAAGTATTGGTTGGCGGAGAAAGGGAAGGAGAGCCTGGGGCAGCTGATGGTGCTGCTTGGATGGGCTGAGGTCTGGGAGGCCTGACCCCAGGTGGCGGGGAGAAGCACAGGGAGCCCGGCCCAAGTCCCGGGCACTGGGAAGTCTGGTGGCCAACTTGACATCAAGTGCTTTGGCACAAGGGACGTTCCTAGGAGTTTGCATTTTGTTACTTGAGGACACTCTGAGTTTTGACCTGGGACAGAAAATGTGATTCCTTGGGAGCTCAGTTTCCCAGGTGGAAGGTGGGGTGACCACTTGCTGAGGCTATGAAGTTGCACTGGGATGCACAGTGCACACCACTGTTGCTGTCTTGGTTCCATTATGTTTCTCACTGGCCTTCAAGCATTAGGTTGCTGTGGAAGTAGCCAAGTCTAAAGGACAGTTTTATTCCCCTCAAAACCATACCCTGATTGGATGTGTTTTTGGTGACGGGGGAGCCTGGTGTTGGGGCTCGCCTTGTTTCTGTAAGTGAGAATTGCTGAGTTTGTCACAGATCTGGGGAACATGTACTGGCAGACAAGGGAGATGAGGGGCACCGCTGTCTGCAGAGAGAGTGCACCTGGGCCTGGGGCTGCCAAAGGCCTTAACTGAGTTTTCCTCTTGACATACTCGGATGACAGTAGCATTTGAAAAGAAAAGGAAAAGGACTTTTTGGGAGCTGTACACAGCCAGCGCCGGGCAGTGCTGTGGAGCGGAGCACGTCGGCTTGGGGGGAGGCCCTTGAGGGGTGAGCATCGGTCACTCTTCCTTGCTCTCTGTCCCAGCTTCACTCCTGGCTTCCCCTTCACTCCTATGTCCCCTTTAGGTGGACATAGCTGTCTGGGTGACGGATTGGGGTGGTGTCTCGGGCGTGTGTGGATGTGTTTTGGAGCTGACGATCCTCACATTTTAGCAGTAGCCGGGAGGGTCCCTTGGACCCTCCTGGGGAGTCTGTCCTCACTACTTAACCATGCGCGGGGACAGCGGAGGCCCTGCCCTTAGGCAGTGTTACTGGAGTTTGGAAGGACCACTTTCCAAGTCCTGTTCCACGCAGGGTGGGTCCTTATTTGTTAGGGCTCCTCAGGGACGCAGTTAGGACGGCGTGTCTTGGCCCCTGGACTGTCCTGCCCTCTGGCTGTGGAGGCAGGCACCCGGGCTCTCAGTCCCACTGCCGGGGTTGCCCCTTGAACACCTGCCCGGAGCGCCTGGCGGGTTGGCGTTGGGCCCGCAGGAGTGGTGTGTGACCCGAACAGGAGTGACCCAGTTCAGACCCTGCCCTAGATGGGAGCAGCTCAGTGGCACGGAGCAGCAGGGTGCATGTGCCTCTTACTTTGAGATCATAATAGAAAGAGGGAGTTCGGCTGTGCTGCCAGAGTCATGTCAGTGTGTAAACGTAAGCGTTTCTCATCTTACGTGGTACGTTTGAAAAAAGCCTTTTTATAAATCACTAGTCATATATGAGTTGATCAAAACGTAATTAAAACTGTTTTTTTAAAATTTTGAAG